ACCGATAGCGGAGCCCATCTGGCGACGAGTTCGCCGCTGAGATTCCCGCAGGTTGAAATTGATGACCCTTCTAGAATTTGAGTCAATTCCAAATCCGCCTGCGGGCGAAATCCGCTCACAGAGGAGACAAGCTCACGGACGAAATTCGCCGACAGCTGAAAATCGCCCTCGCAACTAGCGCTCTAGCTAACGCATGTTAGAGGAGAAATAGAGCGTGCACAGAAGTAGCAGTAACCAGAAACAAAAGGATAATTTCATTCATGGAAAGAAATCCTAGTACAACTGGCAACCGAAAACAAAAGGATAATTTCATTCATGGAAAGGAATCCTAATACAACTATCAAAGACAAAAGGGACGAATTACAAGGCTTTCAACTGCAGTTCCGCCTCACGAATCTCCCTAGCATGGCGATGCTCTAGCCTCCTCAAAATCTCCTGGCGAAGGTCTTCCTCAGTGCGTGAGGCCAAGTCTTGGACGGTCTCTTTGACCTCCCTATAGGCTCGAGCCTTTTCCTCGACGGAATTAGCCGTCAGTTGCTGGCGAGATTTAATGCTTTCCAACTCTTTGACCGCCTGTTCACAAGCCTTCTCCTGAATGGCCAATGAAGCTTGTGCCTTAGCTATAACCTGCTTCAGATTCTCTACCTCCGAAGACAAACGAGAGACACGGTTATCGGCCTTCTGTCGCTCGAAGGCCATTCGTTCATCCTCAGCCTTGGCCTGCTCCAACTCTGCTGACAATTTCGCCTCCAGCGACATGGTCTCGTCCAGACGGCGATCGCGTTCTTCCACCGCTGCTCGGACTTCGCTGATTGCAAGATCCACGAGAGTGGAACTCTTCGCGCGAAGAACGAGCAGCTGTTGAACCGCTTCCTTCACTTCCTCCTTACGCTGGAAGTAGGGTTTCATCGCGGTATGGCCAAGCCTCTTGATTAAGAAGCCCACGATGTAGTTAAGATCCTCTTCAAAACTCTCGAAGGGACAACTCTCCTCCAAAGCGAGCTTGATGCAGCCGGCTAGAGTGTCTTGGAAATCAGCCACAGACCGTGCCGCACTCCTTCTTCGCTCGCGCTCCAAAGGAGAGAGAGTAGCGTCCTCCACCATTGATGAAATCCTAATTGAAGTACCTGTGGTCATGACCGTAGAAGTAAGGATTGGCGCCACCAAAGCCGGTGTGACCAATGACGCCCTCGGAGCAGCGGTCACAGCATCAACGGCCGCCGCCGACAAGGAAGTGGTCACTTGCAGAGTAGGAGTCTCCCTTTGAAGCGGAGACTCTCGCGCTGATGAAAGATCCCCAGCCGACGCTGCCACAGGAGCAGGAGATCCCTCTGATGAAAGATCCCTCACGAGCCAACACCTCTTCCTCACTGGATAACGTCTCATGAATCGAGACGTCGTCATCCTCCTCAGATTCGCCCGTCTCCCCAGACGAGCGACCCTCCCAAGAAAGAGGATCCTCTTTGCCAGCAATTTCGTGGGCACGATCAGCTACGAATGCACGAAGAGGATTAACAGAGGCCCCTCGAAAGGGACCCTATAGACAGTTGGGTACGAAAGGATGAATAATGCTGAGACCTACACTTACCTGAGCCTGTTGGCCCCTCATCATCTCCAGCTTCCTCCTCTTCGTCAGAAGGAATGGAGATCACTTTCTCAACCGCACCTGCATAGGCCCAATACAAGTGTCAAAGGGTATAAGATCAATGTTGCGATCAAGAGTACTGTTGCGAAGATTACTTCCTGTGGTGGACACAGAGGTCGCCGGGACTCCGTCTGTGGCCTCACGGCAGATGGTGGAGGAGCGTCCTTCGAAGTTGCCGGAACTGTCCCCGATACGGCAGAAGAGGCGG